GGGGGGGGGGGGGGGGGGGGGGGGGGGGGGGGGGGGCACGAAAAAAAGGGTGGGCGGCCAAAATTTTTTTTGCTTGGGGCACCAAAAGTCCTAGAGCCGGCCCTGCTTTCACTCTGCTGTCGTGTTGTCCACATGGGATGCTACTGCACAACAAGCTGGTGTGCTGTAGAATCACACCATGGCTCGCTGTGCAGTTACTTGCTATGTAGACAGGATTCAAAGGTTTTGGTTTTCTTAACTGAGCAGCGGATCATTCCAGGGGAGTGTTCTACAGCGCATTGGTGTGACTCTGTAACCCACCATCACATCCCCAGGAATCCATCCAGATTAGCCACAAAGCTGTTGAACTGTTCAACCTGCTGAAACTAGTAAGAAAGCTTTGCTGCTGGAGAAAGGGGAGCGTGATGGTGGGGGGGGGGGGGGGGGGGGGGGGGTGAGGTGGAGTTGCTGTGTGGGTGGCAGGAGGTCCACACTGCTACAGCATTCGCTTATTGCCACGAGGACATATAGGGAGCTTTTAATCCATTTCTAAGTCCTCTTGGGCTCCAGGAACTTGTGCCCCGTGAGCAATTCTCTGCATCTAGCGCCTCACACAGCAGATCTGATGGAAGCAGCAGCACTTGCACTCATGGATAATCTGATGCTGAACTGAGACCCATCTATTGAGTGTATGATCAGGAAAATATCTGCACTGCCCCCTTTTCTGTGTGACTGGTTCCCCCGGTTGCGGAGTGTGTGTTTGGTAAAGCAGGGCACACGGTGGAGAAGAAGAAACAAATACAGCAGAGAAAACTAAAAGTGCTGCAGGCTGTGGAAGAGAGATTTTATCCTCCTGAAATGCATGAAACTCTGCATATCATAAATAATCAAAACATACTGGGGTTTATGGACAAAGTGAGGGTTGAATGTGGGTTTTTTCTAATATTTTCCTTATGCTCTGGTAACATCTCTCTCTGATGTGACTTAAAGGCCCTAGAAGAACTAACAATCTAATTACAAAGTGTGATGTAAATGTGCTGACCAGTGCAATAGTTGCACTGAGGAGCCTCTTGCCAGCTGTTACCTGCACAAGTTGCTTTGTAATTCAATTCAAAGTGCCTCCGGGTACCTTATAGTCACATTAGAAAGCGGTATAACAATAAACATCAGTCACAGGTGCTTTCTGAAAGAATAGTTTAATCCACACTTTCATTTTCTCCCTTCTCTTTGTGTTCTTTCTGTGCTGATAAAACCGTAATGGTAGATCCTGGCTGCCTTATGATAGGAACATTAGGTGCTGGAATGGAAACATTAGCACTGGAATATCCAGCCAGGTCAGCACTCTGACTGCCTAATGTCGGGTGTGGTTTTCCAAGGAAAGGGCAAAATTCTGCTCAGAGGCACATGGCAAATCTGTATTCTCTTATTGGTCCAAATACCACTCTGATTTACACCGGGCTGGGTTCACTTCAGAGAAGTTACTCCAGCTTCAGACCAGTTGAACTGAATGCAGAATTTAGTTATCTCAGAGCGGTGTCCACATGAAGAGCGGTAGGGATGTAAGCGGAGTGGGAATATCCGTGTGCAGATCTCCTGGGCAGCCTTGCCAGCAGAGGTTTGCCATCGGTTCCTGAGAGGTCTGTACTTACAGAATAACATCAGAACTCGGACACAGCTTTCTTCTTGGCCTCTGGTTAATTCTGTTGCCTTGAAGGGCAATAGAAACAGTGAGAAATTCTTCAGCACAGAAGGAAGTGTTATAAAACGAATAGCACACCAGGCATTTCTAGAGTGCCCATCCCTGTAGGGTGGACACTTTAATCTAGAACGCCTTTCTTCTTTCAAGTGTCTATTTTTAAACATCTGACTCTTAATCAGGATTTCAGACAAGATGTGAAATGCAGCCATGAGAGGCAGAGCAAATGCCCTAGAGCACTGAGGTCAGATCCTGCCCTGTGCTGTGCGGGCGGAGGAGGTGAGAGAGGGATGCAGGGAGCCTTTTCCCGCAGCACAAGCACTGGGGCAGGATCTGTGCCACGCAGGGTATTGGGAGGAGACACTGGCTAGCACTTCCCAGCTTCAAGGGGATTCAGGCTGCCAGGCTAAGGGGTGGGTCTGAGGCTCTGCCCCATCCAGCTAGCCAGCGCCTGGGCTGCTGGGAGCAGAAGGCACTAGCTGAGGTTGTATCTTTCTCCTTTCTGAAGGAGAGATAAAGGGGGCTCAGCATTACTTCCCTGCGCCCAGGCCAGTGCAGTGATGGGGGGCAGGGAAGCGATCATGTACATTCTCGGTCCCAGCATTCCGGACCGCCAGCGCTGGATTGCACAGGGAGATGCACACCATGCTGTGACTTGCACTGTGGAGCCACAGGGTGCCTGCAGCCAGCTCCACGACACTCGGGCTAGCTGGCGGGGGGGAGGGGGTTAGACTCGTGTCACAGATAGCCGAGTAAGTGCCGTGCTGCCCATAGCTTTAACCTGGCCAGTCAGAGCTCAGGATTTAAGAGATTAGCTAGGATTTTTGAAGTTATTTACAGGGGCTGCAGGGCCGGCTTTAGGCCGATTCCCCCAATTCCCCCGAATCGGGCCCCACGCCTAAGAGGGCCCCGTGCCCTAAAGAAGAGCGCCTAACTTAGGCACTTTTTAAATTTTTTTACGCACCCGGCGGCGGTCCGGGTCTTCGGTGGCACGTCAGCGGCGGGTCCTTCACTCGCTCCGGGTCTTCAGTGGCATTTCGGGGGCGGGTCCTTCAGTGCCATGGAAAACCCGGAGCGAGTGAAGGACCCGCCCCCGAAGTGCTGCTGAAGACCTGGACCGCCGCCAGGTATTCGAATCAGGCCCCGCACTTCCTAAAGCCGGCCCTGAGGGGCTGGGTGCCCAATTCACTTGGAAAGGCAATGGGAGCTGAGCATCCGACACCATTAGGCTCTTTTCAAATCCCAGTATTAATCCATTGGGATGGTCTGGGCAAATCGGTGTCTCTTGCAGCTCATTGTAAATATGGCCACGTTTGTGCTTAGCTGCATTTCCAGAGAGGGGGGAGGTTCTTGGGTTCGGATCCTCAAAGGTATTTGGGCACCTAACTCTCAGTCATTTCTGTTAGGCATCTACATACTTTTGAGGATCTAGGCCCTTTGTGGTTGTGATTTCAAGTTTCCCCCTCCCCCATTATCTTCCTGATTTTAGTCTGATGATAATCCCTTGTGTCCTCCAATGCCCAGGGTCTCCATTTGCCCGGGCCAGTCTGAAGAGCGGAAAGAATGAGAGCTCCTCGTATTTCCGGAGGAAGGAGAAGATGTTCCGGTTCTTCATCCGGCGCATGGTGAAAGCACAAAGCTTCTACTGGATCGTCCTGTGTGTCGTCACCCTGAACACTCTGTGCGTCGCCATGGTGCATTATGACCAGCCGGAAGGGCTCACCACTGCTTTGTGTAAGTGTCCGGGATCAGAGCCATGTTCCATCCGGTCCTCCCGCTCCTGAGTGCTCTGAGCACTAGCCCCACATTGCCATTAACACCTGCAGCCTTGAGGGCTTTTTGTAACTTCTTATGCCCCATCCAGGAGTTTCACAAATAAATTACTAAGTGGCTCCAAGAAACACCAGAGAAAATGGACAATGTGCTATAAAAAAACAGTCCAAGACACATCTTTGACTTGTAATGGTCAGCCACAAACGTAGTGAACATCGCAGGAGGATTTTTGGGGGGGCTTGTGGATTGGGAAAAAACATTTACTTGGGTCCCTCCCAGCAGCTTTATAAGTTTCTCGAGCTCTCTTCACCTGCGGCTGTCCAGAGAACCTCACAATTCAACCCCCACCCAGGAGATGTATAGCTTGTTCTCAGATTTTCCCTAAGTTCAATACACTAGGCCATTTTTTTATAGTAAAACATATGACGATAATATAGACCCTGAAGCCCACTTGATATCAACTTGTGCAATGGACAGTTCCACTTAATAGAAACAGTATTCCCTGCACCAAAACATTTTACACTAATTCAGTCCAATTGTGCCAATGAATAGCAAACCCTCTCTGAACATGCACTTGTACAGAAAGTGGCTTTCCAAGAGAGCACTTGCCTTAATAAGCCAGGCGTGGCCAATGAGGAGAAATGTAATAGTACCCTCCAGCGAATCACACTGTGAAAATATGTCCAGTACACATATAAGCAACAACACAGGACAGGTGGGTGATGATATCATTTGCCTACGCGTGTTAGATGTGTTTTAGCCCGATGCCTTTGGTCACCCTTTAGTATGGGCATCCAGTACTGTATAAAGGCCCTTGGAGTGTTATTGCTTTTTTAAAGTGTGTAATGTTGTTTTATTTTGTAATGAATAGCCAATGAATCCTGCTCTCTGCAATTAGATCCTTTATACAGTTAAACTCTTCCTCACGTGATTGCCTTCTTGCTTTCACAATGCCCTCCCCCCCCCCCCCCCCCTTTTTTTTTACAAAAGTAGGAGCGGCCCTGCTCATCTAAAGGTTGCAAGATTTGACCCAAAACCTCCCGAGAAATTGCAGTTTGGATAAACTGAGAATTTAAGCATACAGTGACAATGAATTCCGGGCACCATCAATTTCTCCCTGAGAGGTTGGGGAGGGTTGAGTTTATTATGGGGTGGAATAACAGAGTTGCATTGTCTGTATGTATCCGACAAAGAATTCAAGTCAGATGGCTAGACATTGAATAGCAGATGATGTGTTTTAAAACCTAGCACAGAGTCAAAGCAACTGCTGAGCAGAAGGTCAGTTGTAGGGCCCTGATTCTGGCCTCATAATGGTTTAAAGATACGGTCAGTGAAGATATACCGGTGTAAAATGTTTGTGAGGGAAATTGTAGTCAGATCCTCGAAGTTTAGTTCTGTGACAGCAGAGCTCATGGATAGCATGAATGTGATGGTGGTAATGGGGTCTTAGACTCCAACAATTTAGAGAGTTAAACAGCATTTCCATATCCTGTAATCGAGTTCGCCCACGTACAGTTCTGTCCCCATCCTAGAGTCCCTCTCTGCAGAGGGACATTGTGAAAATGACGCCGTATGTCAGACTGGTCAAATTGCATGATGCACTTTCCAAGATTTCCCTATGTCTTTGGAGCCCTTGTCCCCAATCCTGCTCCAACTGAAGTCCCCTGCAAAACTCACATTGGGATCAGGCCCCAGATCTTCAGCTCTTAGGGTGACATTTTCAGAAGAGCTCAGCGTGCACGTGCAGACGAACATCGCACAGCAAGCGCACACTTACTATCTGTGTAGAACCTATTGGTGAACACTAAAAGTTCCTTAGTGCACTGCAGGGTTCACGCGGACAGTTAGTGTGCAGTATGCGGACGTGCTGTAAATCTGTATCCCGGCTTGCTGTGCACTAACTGTTCATTTAAACAAGCCCAGCATGTTGGGTGCTAATCTCGCTATATGCATCAAAATGGGAACTGCTGAATGCGGAGGACTTTTGAAAATTTGGCCCCCGGTTGTGCAGGCTGCACCTTTGGAAACTTGGCCCTTAGTGTGCTGCAGTTTCTTGTATTAGAAGATCCGAGAAGCTGGAGGTGGACTCTCGGTACAGTTTGATCTGCTTCATGCTTCTGGGGCTCAGTCCGGCAAGGTAATAAGTACACTGGCCCGGACTAACAGAACCGTTAAGCAGTTGCTTGATTTTAAGCATGAGTAGTCCCATTGGGTGAAATCCTGGGCCCGTTAAAGTCAATGACAAAATTCCGTTTGACTTCAATGGGGCCTGGACTTCACCCATTGAGTTTAATGGGGCTGCTTAAAGTTAAGCATGTGCTTAAGTGCTTTGCCGGATTGGGCCAGAATGCTCAGCACCTTGAATGATCAAGCCCTTGCGCCAATATGTGGATTATCGATTCGTGGCTCATGGGCAAATTTTTCCAAACCAGAAAAAAAAAAATGAAATAAGATGTGTAAAACAGAATAACTTAGGAACTAAGTCTTCCTATCTTAAAATAATAATAATAAAAAAAAGATTAACTTTTGAAGTCTTTCCTTTCCCACAGGCTAAAAGGGTGAAGCTACGGGTTACTGTGTCTTCAAAGAGCTCCTGCTAATATTTACTAAAATATTTAATAATACCAGGTAACTGAAAGCTATAATGAGGGTTGGGTGAAAAGGAGAAAAAAGTCCTTTCAACTCTTCTGCTCTCTCAGGATTTAGAGGGAAAATAGAAACAGACGACACAGGCAACCAGTCCTACCTATTCTTTTTCTGAATTAAACAGCAGAAATAATAGATTAGAGTAGCAAAGCAATTAGAAATGTCAGGTTTAGGATTTCTTCTCCAACTGGGAGTAAATGGCTAGAAAAATATTTTTAAGTCTTTCATTCTAACCAGAAGATTTCCAAGTTTGCTTTCTGGAACTGTAGAAATGCAGTAACATTTCTGAGGGAATGTTTAAATAGGAATGTGAGCTGAAATCCATTTCATTTTGATATCCAAGCTCGCATTGAAGGAATGTTCACGTTAACTGGAATTAAAGATGCATTTCCTCGTGGGGAGAAAAAAAATCTAGGATAAAGGTGAGAAGTTAAGGGTCCAACTTATCTCAATGGGGGCAATACGGGGCACACTCCCACCCCACTGAAATGCGCATTTTGCCACGACAGCAGTAACTGTCGAGAGGAGGAGTCTACCAGAAATGACCTCCTATTATAAGACAGAGGCCAAGTGATTAATGATTTTGGATCACTTAGTTCTGGGATCCCAACTTGAGACACCTTCAAGCGGCCTGATTTTCAGAAATTCCCCAACACCTGCTCT